CTCAAATGAGGAAAATTAATCAACAGCGTTCAAGCGTACCTCCTTCGAAAGTTTCTATCCTTATAAGGACATATCCAAGCATAGAGCCTGGAAATAATAACGAGGAAAGAAAATAACAGAGAAGAAAATTAAAAACAAAGTTTAAAATATTTTTCTTCTTTGTGATAGCGTTTTACATTGCTTGATTCTTTTTGACTTCATTTATTTTTCCCTTTCTTTCCTGGGCCTCTTTGATGCTCAAATTGTTGATAGTTATCTCCACTTGGATAAAGTATCCTTCCTTTAGTTTTCTTGACCCCTGACGCCTCTCTGTCTTTCTGTTTTTCACTGCCTCATATTCGTCGCTCTTCTTCCTTCACTTCTGATTCTTTTACTCTCACCGACTCTTAGCGAGATATAATTTTGTTCTCCCAACAGCACCGATAGTAATCTGGAAAATAACTCCACATATGCACAAACAACTACAGTAACATAAACACATAAATATTTGTCATTGTTTAGCATAACCAGGAAAATTTACTCTTTATTCTCAAAGATTCTTCTATTGTCTATTTATCATTTTCTCCGTTGCCTCCCCCCATAATATTTTCGTCATATCTTTCTTCCTATCCTGCACCAAAAACCAAAGAGACAATTTGTCGTGTTTCTTTAAACAATTGCGCTCAATCAGCTGATGTATTTCGGAAGCAACGCTAATTTTTTAAAAAATATGTGGTTATTGTAGATTTGAAGTGCTTCAGTGAAAAACCTTACTCCCTGCTATTCAAGTCAATTGATACTAAAATTTAAAAGATTTCCTTTCTAAGACTTAAACGATTTTGGTTCTAAAATTTAAATTATTGGTTACTAAGCTATAAAAGTGTTTATTTCTAAGCTTTAAAAAAAATTGTTTCTAAATTTCAAGAGCTTTTATTTCTAAATTTTAAAAGCTTTCATTTTTAAGCTTTCAAATCTATTGTCATTAAGCTTTAAAAACTTCTATTTCTAAACTTTTAAACCTTTTGTTTCTAACCTGTGAAAGTTGTTGTGTCTAATCATTAAAATAGTTTTAAGTATTAAAAGCCTTGGCTTCGAAGCTTTAAATTTTATTTTATTTCTAAATTTTAAAACTTTTGTCTCTAAGAGTTAAAAGTCTTTATTTCTAAGCTTAAAAAACGTTTGTCACCACACTGTAAAAACTTTTGTTTCTAAGCATTAAAACCTTTTGTTTGTAAACAATGAAAGCGTTTGTTCCTTAGTATTAAATGCTTTTGGTTCTAAGCATTAAAATTTTTTCTAAATTTTAATTTTAATAACCTTTAAAAGTTTTATAAGCGTTTGTCTTTAAATTTTAAAAGTGTTTGAGCTTCAAAACTTTTTTCTAAGTTTTACATGGCTTTGTTTGTAAGATTTAAATCTTTTATTCTTAAACTTGAAAAGCTTTTGACTCCAAGCTTAAAAATCTTTTGTTTCCAAGCTTGAAAACCTTTTGTTTCTAAAAAGTAAAAGGTTTTTTTTCTTTAAATTTCAAAAGCTTTTGTTTCTAAGTTTTAAAAACTTTTTTTACTAAATATTCAAAGTTTACTCTATAAGTTTTTGTTTCTAAGCTTTAAAAACTGTTATTTCTAAGCATAAAACAGTTTGTGTTTCTAAGATTTAAAATCGTGTGTCTAAGCTTTAAAAATTTTAGGTCTAGAATTTAAAATCTTTTGCTTATCAGTTTTAAAAGTTTATGTTTGTAAATATTTAAAGCTTTTGTTTTCTAAGCTTTAAAATTTTCCCTTTGTAAGACATTAAAGCCTTTGTTTCTAAGAATTAATGTTTTTTCTAAAAAAAAATTGTTTCCAAACTATAAAGCTTTAGTTTCTAATCTTTAAAACTTTTCTTTCTCAGCTTTTATTTCTAAATTTTAAAGGTTTTGTTTCCAAGCTTAAAAAGCTTTTATTTCTATACTGTAAAATCGTTTGTTTCTAAGCTTTAAAAACTTCGATTTCTAAGCTTTAAATATTTTCTTCCTTAAATTTGAAAAGCTTTTTCTAAGCTTTAAAATCATTTATTTTTAAACTTTAAAAACTTGTTTTAAAAGTGTTATTTCCAAAAGTTAAAATTTTTTGTTTCTAAACTTTATATTATTTTCTTTCTAAGCTTTAAATGCTTTCGTTTCTAACTTTGTAAATCTTTTATTTCTAAGCATTAAATGCTTTTGTTTCTAAGATTTAAAAGCATATATTTCTAAGCATTATAATTTTTGCTTCTAATCTTCTGTTTCTAAACTTTAAAAGTTTTTATTTTTAAGCATCAATTTTTTTTTATTTCTAAGCTTTAAAAGCTTTTGTTTCTTAAATATAAATCACTATTTACTAAACTTTAAAAGCTTTTATTTCTAAACCTTAAAACTTTTTTCTAAAGTTTAAAATCATGTCTTTCTAATATTTAAAATCATTTATTTCTAAGGATTTTTAATAGTTGCTCATAGGCTTTAAAAGTTTTAGTTTCTTAGCTTTAAAGTTTTGTATTTTTAAACTTTTAAAGCTTTTGTTTCTAATCTTAAAAACCCTTTTGTTTCTAAACTTTTAATTATAAGGGTTTGTTTCTTAGCTTTAAAAGCTTTTCTCTCTAAAATTTAAAATCTTCGGTTTCTAATTATTAAATACTTTTGTTTCTAAGGCTTAAAAGCTTTTCTTTCTAAATTTTAAATTTTTTTCGTCTAATTTAAAAATTTCTTTTTTTCTAAGCTTTAAAACTTTGGTCTTTAAGCTTTAAAATCTTTTGTTTCCAAGCTTCAACATCTGTTGTTTCTAAGCTTTTGTTTCTATTCCAAGTTTTTAAATATAACTTTGTGTAAGCTGTCGAAATGGTAAAATCACTCGTTTTTGATCGAAAACAAATCGATTTTCAATAATTTTAGGTGTTTTCGAAAGTTTTTAACCACCAAATTATTTTTTAATATGAACTACTATTAATCAGACATTTTTCAAGAGTATTAGCTAATTCAGTCAGAATTGGAACACGGCTGGCTAGTTCCATTTTCCACATCGATAACCCACACGCACATCCACCATGAAAATGATATTTTAAAATCTTAATGGAACAATGGATAATGCAAACAGTAACAGCATCAATAAAGTATTTCGTGGCATGTCAAGGATGGAATTAAGCAATGCTTCTTTTTCACTTCCATATATCATATTAAACAGACAACAAAGACAAATGGGACTAAGACAAAAATAATTTTAGCTACAAATATTCATGTTGATATCGAGAACAATTTTAACCGGACAACACCGGGTAACTTGAATAGACTGCGTGTATGTGCGTGTGTGTATGTGCGTGTGTGTGTATGTGAACGTTTGTATTCGTAGCACATTATTTGTTTTGTTGATTGATTACCTATATACAATACATAACTGTATATTAGTAGAGTTTCCTCCTTTCCATTCAAGTTTGACACTCGTCCGTTATTCTTTCTCTCCCTCTTCCTCCTTCCCAAGGATTTCATGTTCAGTTTTGTTTTCTCGTAAAACATTTCACCGATTCTCAGACCGCGCCCAAAAAGAATTGCTAGGGAAATTCTATCCAAAGTTACAAAAAATAAATAAATAAATAAACAAAAAGAAAAAAGAAAAAAGAAAAGGAAAAAGAAAAAAGCCAAAAAGGAAAAAGGCCAAAAAGGGGAAAATGAAAAAGGAAGTAAAAAATTTAAAACAAAACGAAATAATCTACGAGGACCCCCCCACCACACAAAAAAAAAAAAATAAGCCACCTCCAAAAAACGTGACGGAATAAACTATCCGAAAAGAAAACTGGTACATCTGATCGTAGTGGTGATGATGGCAAAAGAATAATAAGAAAGCAAAAATATGAGGGAGATGATTACAATAATTAGATAAAAAGGAAGAAAAGAAAATAACGCAATAATAATAATAATAATAATAATAATAATATGAAAAATAATCAACATGAAAGCTTTTTAATAGGAATTAAATCCTTTTAATAGCAATTATATAGGTAAATTTCATTTAGCGAAATTATAATTATATAAATTGGCTACTTCATTAGAAAGACAAATATTTAATGAGTGAGGTGAAATTATTGGCCAAAATAAAACTAAATTGGAAACATTGGTTGAAACGGAATTTTAATCAAGAGATTAGAATGAATTTTAGAATCGTGAAATTTGAAGCCATAAAAGAAACAATAACCAACAGAAGCACAGTAATTATATATTTAGAACATTCAATGATGATCATGACAAATATTTTAGAAGCAGATTCAATAAAATTAGATGAAATAGGAAAATAAAGAAAACGTTTTGTTAAACGCTTTTGAAGAAAATACTCAGGACTCTAAACCTTATAAAAGCTGTAAATACATAGAACATACCAATAGAGAGGTAATCTTTACCCTTCCCAAACTAGACAAAAATAAGGACTATAGAATTAGATAAGGTGAAAATGAAATGAAGAATTAAAAGTGTTTAGACGAGGAAAGTAAATAACAACGAGAGGACGCTATAAGCGAAAAAGTTCATTCAGTTTATTAATTTTAAAAATACTATAAGCATTATATTTATTAAACAAGAGATTTAGTGTTTGTTGTCATTTACCACCTTTCAAACATCTTCATAATTCCATTCACTCAGAAAGCTTTATATTTCCATTTACTTATCGTGTCCACAGCCTCTATGTAGTCGATAGCATTGACCCTGATTCATTGTGTGATCAAGGGTGGTGGTTTGACAGATGGAATGAAATTCGCGTGCAATACCATGGGTACAAAAGAAAGGGGCACGGAGAATTCCATCCTGTTCTTCTGGTCACTTTCAAGAAGCCGTCTCTCTCCAGGCCGCTGAGGTAAGCGGCTAGTACCATGGGCATGGGGCTTTTTAGCCCTTCTTGTCTCGGACTGGAATGTTAATATTCGCATCTGAAAGAGAAACAAAAATGTTAAAAGTTCGCGCATACTGCGTAAGATACTGTTTGGTTGTTTTCCATTTAAGATTGCTAAAGTTGTGTTCTTAGATACAAGGTGAAATCTATCTATCTATCTATCTATCTATCTATCTATCTATCTATCTATCAACATTATACTTAGTGAGTACACGTGTTTGAGCAGATATCCATGTTTTTTAATCAGTGAAACTGACAGCTAGCACCCTGGACAAGTCTTATTAAAGGAAATATGCTTCTTCTTTGATAAGGACTTCGACTGCCCAAGCTACCAAATAGTTATGTCTACTTCATTCTGTAGAAAGAACATGCGTTTTTCTGAATTCTTATTTTGCCTATATATACATTCACTTTTCGTACAAATGAAATAAAGAAATATTTATAGTGCGTACTAAAAAAGATACTCATTGTTAGACAATTCCTAGAAATATGTCAACTTCTGATACTGTCAAAGGTTTGTAAGGTGAAGCATTTGTTGCATGAAAATGATTTTGATACAAAGTCACATTTGTGGAGCGTCAACAAATGTTATCTCAGCTATTGATCTCAGTATCAACATTTAAAACAATTCAATCATTAACAACAGCATAAAACACGGTTCCATTTGCAGAAGCAACAAAAGTCTTAACCTGCTTTCCTGTTTCCACATTTTCTTGTTGTTTATTTTCCATTGTAGCAATTATTAATGAAAAGACAGAGAAGAAAAATAGATGCTCAAAAACCAACAATGAATTAATATTATTTAATGCAATCCGAAGTTTAAAGTATTTACAAGAACGTCATAATAAAATTCTCGTACTGCCTATTTAGCAAAATGGGAATAAATGCTCAAAATCAAAACTTATTCTTTAATCATCTTTTGGTTAGACCAAGAACTTATTATTACTCCTTCGTAAACCCTTTTTAAATCTAGAGTATATACTGGCGTGGGGATTAGGGGTTAAAATGAACAGTTGATTTAACCAAACAAGAGAAGGAATTTATTTATTCATGAATTTACACACTTGAAGTTGTGCCATTTGCTCGTCTCAGAAAAATAAATCAGAATTTTTTAAAGTTCGTAGTTTTAACATGTTATCATGAAGAGGAAATGTTCATACAACAGATTAAATGATATGACACAAAATAATATTGAAATACGTTTAAAGAAAGCTAAGAGAGTTCGTTGTTCACAGAAAGTATATATGGTTTCCATACGTTTAAAGGTAGACGAGGATAGGTAGTTTGAAATACATAGCTTTCTTGGGTTGTTGAAAGAAAAATCTTTGAAGTGCCAAGTGCTTGGTTAAAAGTCGATAATATAATTGACGAGTAATTTTACACTGAAAACTTCAACGCTGGTGAATAGAAAATCACATGACCAGACACTATTCTCGTATTAATTTAATTTTTCTCCTCATTTTATATAAAACAGAAATTCGCATAGGCTCGCTACTTGCTTTTTTTCTTCTTGGCTTTACGGCTAATTCTGTGGAGACAAGGTGTTCATTGGTCCAAAAGCTATTTCATATACGCTATCGAATTTATTTTCCTTTCTTTTTTCTCAGCTACCGGTCAATCTCTGTGAAGGCAAGATTTTCATTGGTTTTCATTCGACCAAAGAATATTTCACATAGGCTCGTGAATTCCTTTCCGTCTTTTTCCTCAGTTGTACTTGTCTAGTTATAAAATAGAATCAAGCTCGTCTGAAATGAATGCGTGAGCGAAAAAAATAATTTACAGTTGTCAATAATTAAGTATTTATAAAATTTTCGATTTAATGCCAGAAATAACAAAAACGTTTCTACTTGTTTTGTTTTTTTTTTGTGCTCGCATGAAAATAAAAAACACATTTCACAAGGGAGATAATTCCAATTGCTCATTCGGATCCAAATAGCTTGAGAGATAAAAAAGCAGTAAATATTGACTGAATAAATAAACAACTGCAGAAAAACAATTCGTTGCATTTAAGATGAGATAAAAGTATTCACTTATATAATCTGATATACACAAATCTATAAGTGTTATGTCTGATTGAGTTTGTTCATGTGTGATATCTAATAAATGAATACTTTACATTTATTTCACGTAGTTGGCTCAATCAACTAAACTTTCGTGTTTAAAACTTTTATTAAATTAAAACTATTATGGAAAATATATTCCAAAGGTGTGATATATAAGCATTTTATAATGATTAGTAGTATTTTGAAGTATAAAATCAATTGAGATATGCACAAATGTAAGAATTCTTGGCCACCAGATATTCAGGGGAAGTTCAAATTGTCTAATTAATTTAATTTTTGCAGTTGGTTTGCTGTGTAAGTAAAATATATTTCTCAGTGAGAGACCAATGTCCCCTCCGAAATCCAGTGGGCTTCCGCTACAAAGTAAAACCAATATTTCACCTGTACATATTAAAATATTAATTTACTGTCATCAACTATGCAGTAATGGTTGATGTATTGTTAATTAAATACTGATTTTATAATAGTCTATGTCTAATTAATAAAAAATGTTAGACAAAAATTTTTCTCTTGATTTTCCAAAAGAAATAAGAAAACATGAAGAAAAATGCATAACATTTTAATTACGTTTTTAAAATAGAGTATTTTTTTCCCAGTTAAAATATTCGGTCATACACAGAAAGTTTGCGATTATTTATGGATTTTCCCATCCTTGGAGAATGCATCGTAAAAGGTAGGTCGACTGTCTATCTATCTATCTATCTATCTATCTATCTATCTATCTACTTCCAAGTTAAATCATACAGTATACTCTTCAATTGGCGGTTTGGATATTCTTTTGTCTCTGAAACATACTCAGTTCTTCTTGGCATTGATTCGACGAAGTTCAAGATTTCTTTCGAAATGTGGGCTCGCTTGCTGTCGTTATGACATTCTACAATTTCGAATATCCCTTTTCACCACATTCCAAATGCTCGCTATGTGGATTGAGATCTAATGATTGTAATGTGGAAAACTCATTGCCGTGTTTCCTGAACGAATCTGTTACTGTTTCATTATTTGTGAGACGATGCGTTGTGCTGCTGGAAATGATCACCAGTGCTACACCGTGGTTATAAACTGAGGCAAGTGGTCAGCCACAAACCATGATAGTCTGCGGCATTGTAATGATCTTGGAATAATAAAGTACCAAAACTCCCAACATATGCTACAAAAATATTCTCACATATTCTATTGTCCGATTTTTGTGATCCTTAGCAATTTGTTTCTTCTTCTTAACTGGCAGGAATAACACCCTCTATGGTCATATCCTCCTGTAGCTCATCTGCTTAAAGGTTCAACAAGTTGTGAATTCAAAATGCTCTTCTGTATAACTCCGTTGTAAAAAGTGGTTATTTCAGCTACTTTTAACATTCTGAACCATTATGGCGATTCTCTTCTCACTTCTTTCATCAACAAGGGATTTTCGCTTACGGAATTGATGCTCTCTGGAATGCTTTTCTTTCTCTGATTATTCTCTGTGAATCTGAGAGATAGTTGTGTGTGGGAATCCTGGTTGATTAGCAATTTTTGAAGTACTTATACCCGCCAGTTTAGTACCAACGATTATGTCACGTTTAACGTCACCTAAAATACTTTTCGATACTAATGCATGAAATGAAATCCAGGAGATTACCATAATCATGTTTAGATGCCACATAATTGAAATGAAAAACAAAAGATACAGGAATTTTCTATAGTTCTTATCTTCGGTTCTAGCGCGGTCGGATTCATCAGTATGAGATGATGAATTAAATGAAAAGAAGAAAATGAACTGAAGTTGATGTCATATTGACATTTTCGTTAGAGAACGTTATGACTTGAAAGTTCTTTGTTTTTATATATATATATATCCGGAGACATCGTTGGAGGAAAACGAGAAAAGCCATAAGTTGAAACGTCGGTATTTTTAACTGTTTAACATGAAATTCGAAATTTTTTTCAGTTTAATTTAAACAAAATTAATTGTGGAAAATATTCAAAAAACTAATTTCTTATACTAAGGGATATTTTATTTATTTAATTTTTATAAGAAGAACTTGTAGAATTATTTTTCCAATAATGTTTTTCGATGTAAAATCCTTTGACTAAAATATTCTCTAACAGAGTCTCCAAGATTGATGTCAGTTTGAGTCTATCATCTCATCTCGACAAATAACGCCTGTGTACCTGACAATCACAAGAGAATAGTCCAAAGCATAAAAACCAGCACGTTCAAACATTCTCTGCTCATACACACACGCGCGTATCACCTTCCCGGATATTCATATATGCATACATATATACATATATACATATATATATATATATATATATATATATATATATATATATATATATATATATATATATATATATATATATATATATATATATATATATATATATATATGTGTGTGTGTGTGTGTGTGTGCTTGAATTTTTTAGAGGGACAGTCTCCTTGATCTCTCGCCACGTGTATAATCTAGTTAAACTCTAATGTAGTTTTTATTATGTGTGTACAATATGATTATGTGTTTCATTATATATATATATATATATATATATATATATATGTGTGTGTGTGTGTGCATGTGTGTCTGTGTGTGCATATGAGTATGTGTATGAAAACGTGTGCATGTATAGAATTTTATATGTGTGCAACTGTGCGTGCACGCTTGTGCTGTTATGTGCGTGACTCTGGGGTTCAAAGGGACCAGCTGGTGTTTTAGAGTTAACATTTCTTTGTAAAATTTCTTTGGTGAGGGGGGCGATCTGTATTTCTTTTCTTTTCAAATACAACTCGATTTATAAGATACATGTTCTATACGCTTCCAAAATTAAATTCCTTTTGTAAAAATAAGTAGAGTAAAAAAAGCAGGCATAAGAAATAGAAAATTAAAAATATTCAGCAAATGAAAAAACAACTTTATTTTTTTACATTTATTCCAGAAGAAATAAAACTAAAATCCAACAGCTGTCATTTATGCATGAAAAACACAAAACAATCGATTCGGGGCTCAAAACGAGGAATATCAGAATAAAGAAATGCTTCAAAAATATCATTTTTGATGCAATCATCTATTCACGCAATAAGACGTATACTTTTATATTGATTAACTTAGACGAGGTTTGTATTTAACGAGGTGATGTCGACTGCTTGTCTTTTTCTTTAGCATTAATCGAACTTAATTTTGAATTGATTAATATCAGGAGCAGTGTTTTCATGCTTTTTTTTGTAGGCATATTGAAAAAATAGAAAGGTTTTATTGGATTATGTATGCATCGAGTGTAAGTGCGTGCGTATTTAATGTGAAACAGTATAATGATATAAAAGAAGAGAGAATCGAATTTGAATTTCGGTAGAGTGCTATTAAAAGTTCATTTAAAAAAACAATAAAGGTAAACTATTCTCTCAACAACTGTACATACAAATATAGTTACATCTAAAAGCTGTGAGATTTCACATCATTGCATGCGAGGGTTGCTCCGAAAGTAAATCCATGTAATCCATGTTATTCTGCTTTAAGTATTTATTATAGAAGCCATTATTTTCGTAGCAGCACGCGTATATGAAGATATAACAATATTTTTTTTAAGTTTTAAGATGCATATTCCCCAGCATACTTCGACATATTCGAATTATTGTTCTCATCTTTCATTGTTATAGTCCTTAATATAGACACAACGTTTATTTTTCACTTAAAACTGTTTTACTGTGTGATATGTATATAATTACATTCATGATTTTCGCCATCATCTCCAAAGTGATCCCCACAAAACATATGATATCCCTGCAATTGTCTTTAAGAAATGTTCTCCTGAACTAACTCCTGTTCTCTCTACACTCTACAATAGATGCCTTACTGTTCTTCCTTCACAGATTGTCCGAAATACTCTTTTGTAGTTCCTGTTTTAAGAACATTGGCAAACCGTTTGATTTCATATCAACTAAAACTTGACGCCTGAAAATGACTAGAGAAGACATGATCGAAATGCGTACCTACAATAACATCTGTAACATTCAAGGATTACGATCAAAATCTGGATCATAGAGTCGTTGTTAATTCCACTATCCTTTCCTTAGCTGCATAGTGTGTACTTACCTACGGTTTTGAATTCAGACTTTCCCCATCTTTGACACTGGTTAACAGCCAAATTTACAGAGCCGAGACTACACTATTATTTAATCAATAGGTAGGAGGAGACGAAGAGATACATTCATACTTTTCAAAAGGGTATTTGCGCCTAAGTGAAAGTAAATAACTCGACTGGAATTCGAATTTACGATTCCTCATTCCGAGCTGCTATTCATTGTACTACCTGCAGAAGAACAAAAGTTTAAATGAATCGAATAAGTTAAAGTATAATCGTATGTTGTCAAAAATATATTTGCTTGTCTTTGAACATATGTGTCTCTTTATCACTCTTTTATCATGAGCCCAAATTACTTCAGACAATTTTTATGGTAGTCATGTATTTTAGAATATCATTTTTGAATTATATTGTTTCTAATATTGACAGCTGTTACATAACATATCGAAAGCTGCTGACTGGTCCTATACGATAACATGGTGTTTTTTCTCGGTTATTAAAATCTGGTTCTATCCAAATTAAACACCAATTTTGTTGTAAATCTTTATGACATTTTAAGCTGCACTTGTTTAACATCCATGATGTAATCTTTCAAGCAATTAAATTTTTCGTAAAAGAATTCTACATATACTAGAATAAATTGTAACCTGAACAATGTATAACATCCGCTGAATATGACAAATGAATAAAAACATCTAAGAAAAATTGTAACATCAAAGAAATAGATGGTCCTGTTTTATTCCGATGGAATATTTCTCTTTCTCTTAATTCCATACGCGCGCTTTCGTCGATTGCCGCCTTCAATTGGTTTATTTAATTGATCGCAGTACATGTTCGAATCAATTATTTGTTTCTCAAACTCATAGTAGATGAATCCATTCAAATTCTATGTACATGGTAACATCATCTTTAGATGAAGACTAGATTTTAATACGTTTAGTTTTATTCTTTTGGTTATTTCATAATCTCTTACAAATGTTGTAAGATGTAAATATTACGATGCTGCAAATATTCACTTTTCAGCATTTAATATTTGTTTAAAAACCGGAAAAATCAAATAGAGTCATGCAAGTGTTTTTGGCTTCATTTTACAACAAAGCAACTAATTTAGGGCAAATGACCTTCAGCGTTTGATTTAAATACTTTAAAGATTTTTGCTATCTTTTTTATTCTATAACAATATCAATTCTCAATTAATATCTTGATATATTCGCTGCATAACGCCACTACTCAACCATGCACAATAATTTACATTAAATTTTGCAAACCACTTTTGACACATTCAGTTTTTCACAGAATCTTCTTCATCAACTGCACAATTGTTTTACGTCTGTGCTGTATTTTATTTATTTATTCACATTTATTAATATAAACAGCATTTGCCGAATGTGTTGCTTATATTGTTTCAATTAAAATCAATAATCCCAAATAGGCCAGTTTTGACAATTTAAGAAATGCATGCCCTAACACTAAAGCTAAACAATTATTTGAACTGAAATTAATTACAAACAAATCTTCTAATGGGATCTTTAGATAAAAAGAACTAAATATTATAATAGACAACCAAATAATGTTTTTTATAAACTGGAATTATTTAAAAGGGTATAAAATGTACTTGGATATTTTACATAAAATAGTTAATCAGCATTGAAGAAAGTAACTAAATTTAAATTTGGTTTATTCATGGCCCTAACCTTTGTCTGTATGTCCTTTAGAACATCATCGGACTAAAGTAATGTTTCTGTAGATTGAATTATATATGTGTAGTAATGTGAGTGGGAATATAAAAAATGTTATTCATAATTATTCACAGACAGGAAACGCTGAAAATAATGCTACGCTGAAATTTTAAACTTTTAATTTTTTTAAATGTGCGTAAAATTTAATTCCGTTTTTATTATAATTTTCTTTTTGTTTTTATAATTTTTATTATTAAATATCCCGCGTTATGATAATAGAGATACCAAGAAATGTATAATGTAATAACATGGACGTAAATTTACTGCGAATGATCTGCTAATGAAAGGATTTTTAAAAATCAAAATTATGACCAAAGTAATTCTGGTGAGCATTGAGTGTGTTGTGTTTTTGTGTTCATATACTCTTTTACATTAATTTCTCCCAGTTGCTTCTATGTATTCCTTGTGGCAATGATTATAGGTTATAAAATCAACTTCTTCTTCAAGTTTTAGTTGCTTCTATGTATTCCTTGTGGCAATGATTATAGGTTATAAAATCAACTTCTTCTTCAAGTTTTAGTTTTTTTTGTATAAATTAAGTATCTTCTTGTTTTAAAAGTAGTTGTAATTAATTTTATGTTAAGCTTAGATGGATTCTTTTAAAGTGTAATTATGATAGAGAAGTTTGGTAGAATAATATATTTTGATTCGTTGGATCTGTAAGAATAGTCCACTTTTCTATTTCGAAATATTTTACGAATCTTCTGTTTTGCATTGAATGGGGGAACTGGAGAAGCTTAAAACTATTTTCATTGTGTTTTCTCCTCATCATGTAAATAATGATTTTATTTTGCTATGCTGAGAATAGAAATTTCTGTTTTTTTTTATTAGTTCATTTTTTCAACTTTGCCATTAATTTACCTAAGACTGTTTTTATATATACCAAAAATTATAATATTTTAATATTTTTTGATAAAATAATTATTTCTCTAGATAGAAATTGAGCACTTTACTGACAAATGCTGTTAGCCATTTACTGAAGAAGCGCAAAAATTTAGAAGAATACCTGGAGCAACCGAAAGCAATGTAATCTCAATGCAGAGAGGTTCAAACGGAAACAAAAAAAATCAAGGATAAACATGTACAAGAATGGAAAAAAATATAAGCAAGAATAATGTAAGTTAAATTGAAACAAAATCCCAAAAATAGAAATCTCCAAGAAATATACTCAACTTTTGATTTTATCATCTATAATCAATCCTTAAAAATCTTATCAATGCTAATTAATAACCCATTTCAGAATGCATCACTGGAAGTATTACATATCTCTCATCAAAACGAGTGAAACAGCTAATCCAAAAATGTATAGCCCAATAGCATATCTGTCCATCACATATAAATTGATCACGTCTGTCCTGACGAACTGTACTTACTCATGTTTCCATAGAAACAACATGCCCCCCGCCGGAACAGAAGGACTTCATATGGTTGCAAAGATCAACTACTAATAAATAAAATGATTCTGGAAAATTGCAGGAATAAATGTAGAAATCTCAGCACAGATTGGATAGATTACCGTAACGCCTTTGATAGTGTACGACACTCTTAGATCCTTAAGGCTTTGGAAATGTACAAAGCTTCCTCGGTGATAGTAAATTTCCTTAAATATAGCATGAAATTGTGGAAAACCACATTATACGTAAATCACACGAAATATGCTACCATTTCTAATTGTTTGAATATTCGACGAGGAATCTTACTGTTCTGTCTGTCCTTAATCCCCTTTCGCATGAGATAAACAGTAATATCTATGAATACAAAGTAAAAAAAAAAGTGTTTCACTTACTCTACACGGATGATATCAAACTCTTTGCCAAAGCCGACAATGGTATCCTCAATATTGTAAAATGTTTCAGTGACGACATCGCTATAAATTTCGGATTATATAAATGTGGAAAAGTAACATTCAAGAAAAGTTTCTACTTTTCTTGAATGTTACTTTTACAGAAATACACTCAAAAGATCTCGATTTTGTTACAAAGATTAGGGAACTGGAACAAGAAGAAGCTTATAAATACCTCGGAGTCAGCGAAGGAGATGGAATACAGTATACCAAAATGGAGAAACTATGGAAGGAATGTTACAGGCGAGTTCAATTCACAAATCAGAATATCAGCCATAAACACCTTGAATGTCCCTGTGGTGCAATACAATTTCAACATACTTAACTAGACAATAGTTGACATTAAGCTAATGAATGTCAAAATGAGAAAGCTTCTCATTTGACATCGCATGCATCATCCTGAGGCTGATCTTGATCATCTGTATGTGGCTACGTAACGCAGGGTTAAAAGCTGAAACCGAAGGTTTTATTTTTGCTGCATAGAAATTACCGAGCACACATACAGAAAAATTGTGTTGACCACAAATGCAGATTCTGTCATAAATATCCAGAAACAATTGAGCATCTTGTATCAGGTTGCATGTTGTTAGCGCTCATTGAATATAAAACTCGACAAGATAGAGTGGGCCATTATCTGCACTGGAAAATATGCAACTTTAACGGGAAGGAAATTGCAAGAAACTGGTATAAATTTCACTCTTGACTTGGTTATAGACATTAAGACCTGTAACAATCTTATGGGACTTTACGATACACACAGACAGAAAAATCAAAGCTAAATACCCAGTCATCGTGATCAAAGTTCGCAAAAATAGAATGTGCATTTTTATTGACAATTTATGCAGGTTGTAATTTATCTTTGAAGATCTTTAAAAAAAAAACTATCAAAATATAAGTGGAAATCTAAAAAAAATGTGCATTTGTAGTTAGATCTCTCGGATATATTGGAAAAGGACTTATTGAAGGGTCCCTGGTAGCCCACACCTTAAAGAAATGTATAAAATGCACATAAGTACAACTCTCACATTACGAAGTGCTTTGTCTAGGTAAAATTTCTTTACAAAAAATGATCAATAGAAAATATCATGATGCCAGTTCTAAACTTAGGTCTCTGATTGAGACTCGGAAGGAAATGTGTTTACAACAGAAATCAAAGGAAATAACAGCATTAATAATAAAGAATATCATAATGAGTCATCATGCAAGAACTTTATTAACCAAATTGTAGAGATTTCAAGCTGGACTCTACAATACTATACTCTGCTTTCATTAAAACCTGTCACTAAATATAGCATACTTGGCGGTGATTTATTGGATTATGTGAGATCAATATGAATTTGATCCGACATCACTAACGTTCTCTTTGACATTTTTGTCAGTAGCTCAAATCTTTTCTTGTAATGGTTCTGAACATGAACCTCACCATTTTTTGAGATGGCATTGCTAGCAATAAACGGTCAGAAATTACAAATCTAATGATGTGAATGCATACAAGAGCCTTTTCTTAATTGAGTCCAGATAGAAAGGCACCAGATGAAACATTTGCCAGTGTTGTCTCTGTTCTATCAATTAAAACAGATCGCAACTTGTTGGTTGAAAAGGTGATCTTCTCAAAAGAGTTCAAGTTTAGAATTTGCTAAAATTTGTGTTTGTAGAATTAGTTAACTCATTTCATAGTTTTGCATACAACTTGAAAATTTATTTAATATTAACAATACCTGAGCCGCATTTTCTAGCAAGTTGAGTAATTTATATGCATTAATCGTAGAGCAACAAGATGGAGATTACTCAGAAAATAAATACCATACGAAATAGCACTACCAAGGAAATATTGTGTAACGTAATAATAATTTACTATTAAGATGCATTTTACTAGCAAAGTTTTATGATAGCATCTATCTATCTATCTATCTATCTATCTATCTATCTATCTGATTGCTTTACGAGTTTACAGTATAGTGAAATGTTATACCACTTTGAAATTTTTGGACATTTTAGACATAGGTTAGAATTAAAAACAACTACATTATTAATTCAGGGCCGCTTGCAAATAACGACATGATAGATATTTGGTCAACTTACACGCCACACTTTGCTGTGCTATTCGAAGATTAACCAATCTCGCCTTCGGAAAATAACCATTGATGCCTGATCCATGTACTCCAACACACACACACACACACACACACACACACACACACACACACACACACACACACACACACACACAAGAAAAAAAAAAGTAGGAAAGCGCATTTTTTTTTACAAAACAAATATATATTTTTCATCACAATATTCTATTTTGTCAACTTACTTATTTCAGTCCTGAATATTAATCCCATATTTAGATTAATATTCAGTACTGAAATAAGTAAGTTGTGTAAATTTCAGGTCATAATTCAGACAACAACTTCCCTTCATGTTAGAAATTCTAATATATATATCATTAATATATCTATATCTTTATCTATCTATCTATCTATCGATCTATCTATCTATCTATCTATCTCTCTCTCTTTCTATATATATATATATATATATATGTGTGTGTGTGTGTGATTAAATGAAAGCTAGTAGGAGATCTTTATAAATTTGCGTGCGTGTATGTGTGGTGCTGAAAAATTATCGGCCCGACTGAAAAACATTTAATGTTTAGTCATATGTCTATTTTGAGAAGAAATTAAAACAAGTCTTAGCCCAACAAAATTAACATGTCACCTTATTGAATTCATTTTCAAATTACATTTTCGCACGACCTCACGTCAGATCAGAATTGTGCAGTGTCATGGTTTAGCAACAACTTCTTGTTTTAGCAGAAGAGAAACAATCTATGTTAAATATTACGACATTAAGCTGCGAAAAAAACTTTTAGCTACATTTAAGCTGGTAAATAAAAGTACAAGGAGATTTGTATTCATGTATACCTGTTTATGAATACCGAAAATCTATCTCGATTTTTGTTGTTGAAATTTCCAAAAGATACAATTCAACAAAAACAGACTGCATTAGTTCAATCTCCTTAAGCTTTCTGACTTATACGCAGTCTTACTCATTTGTATCCATGAAATTTTCTGTTTTGCTTTTATAGTAATGTTACAGAAGAAAATATTTCATTTCGAAATAATATGCTTTGAGGAATACAAAAAATATATTTTCAAATAGAACGTAACCTCTATTTTAATCTTTTTTTAAAAGGTTAATGATGAATTCCGAATAAAATAGTATATTCGACAATGAAAAATACTGTATGTGTTTATGCGTGCTGCTATATGTACATGTACAACTGCATACAGCTCCAAGATCTTAGATTTTTTTAATGAATATGTATATATTTGTCTATGACTTTAAGCGTGTGTGTACAAATATGTATATTAATGTATGACGGTGCCTATTTTCGTATTATGTGCGTTTGGTTGCCCGAAGGATTTTAAGGAAAGACTATTTGATAATATTTGCATGGTCTGTTGGTTTCGCATCGCTAGTGCCATGCCTAGAGGATGTTGATGCTTTTTTGAGCGCTGTTGTGCTTCCATACGAAAAGAGGTCAATATAATGTTTATTTACATAGTCACCGCTATTTTTCTCTTTTGTATTTTTTCAGCTTTGTTTAGTATTTTATGATTATGTTTTGATTTCCCCACTTTCCTCCTTCTCTATTAACGCACGTGTTAGTGTTGTGCATTGAATATGATTATTACGGGAACATATGCTTGTGATTAGATATATGCTGAGTACTCATGTGTACATAGGCGTGTGCCGTTAATTTCTGTGCTAGAATTAGATTCAGCGTCTTTATATCATACCGCGTACATTACTTGCTTTCCTATCAGGTGAACTTTCGTAGGCGCAACGAATGTGTGTGTTTTTCTCCAAGGCCCAGCACTTAGTATTCTAATCAAGGTAGGATACTGGGCGATGAATTCCACTTGAAGCAAAGGATATCTTTATGGAAGGATGCGACATAATTTGACAGTTAAAAAAACAATGATGTCATTTATCTTGATGTTTGATGAAGTATTGTTCAAATTTGGTTTACTTTCTGTTGAAACTTGACTAATGCATGGAATAATAATGCAACACAAAATGTACTTAGAACAAAATGTATTGAAACAAGAAAGTGTACACAATATTTACATATAGTCTTTTGTATATTCCTGGTAAGACCGTTCCTGGAGAATGTGCTGACTGAGTCGCAGTCGGGCAGAGTCTCTGGTTGAATCTCTTGATTCCTCCTCTCTTCCCGGTACCAACCATATTTATATGGTCGGTACTCCACTATGCAAATTAGGTGGATCCTACCACAATACTTTCCTTTAAATACAGTACACGTAAACAAATCTATCTATCTATCTACCTATCTATCTATCTATCTATGTGTGTGTATATATATATATATATATATATATATATATATATATATATATATATATATATGAATGAATATAGTTTTAAGGTGTGATATATTTATGGGATAAAGTGCTCAATATCAGAGATAAAGCGTATGTAAATATAAATGTAAAAGTGAACATTGAAGTCAACACTTAGAGGCAACAGGCTTTTTCAGCTATGCGCAATCGCCAGGCAGCCTGACGATTGCGCCTCTGAGTGTTGACTTCAATGTTCAGTTCACTTTTATATATATATATATATATATATATATATATATATATATATATATATATATATATAAAAAGGCAGGATGTGTGTGTGTGTGTGTGTGTGTGTGTGTGTGTGTGTGTGTGTAACGAATGCGCGGTCGCAATTTTCGACGGATTTGCACCAAAATTTACATGCACATGCTCCAAGTTAGCGGGAAGGCTAAGACCGACTTTGCATTTCCCAACTCTCATCGATAGTGGAAATAATCGATTTTTTCATGCTTCTACGGCAGTTTTCATGTAGTTCGCGGCCATTTTCTACTGGCCAGAGTGAGAGCCTATAGCTGGCTGCCACGAATAGGCAGGAAGATTC